GAGTGGGGCTTCCAACAGGGTGTTTCCAATTGGCCCCAGACACTCTGGAAATCGCTCTGTCCTCCCTCCCCCACTTCGTCACCTTGGTCCAAAATAGTCTCAACCTGATGACCTTCTGGACATGCTGCAAAGCCACCACTTATTTGACAGGGGTTTGGAGGTGGGGGGGGGGGAGAGGAGTTTGATAGTATATTCCTGGAATAGAGAAGGAGTGGGGAAGAGAGGGACTTTCATGCTGCTTTGATTTATTGGCTGGCTGAGTTCATAGTTATTTGACTAGGATTATTTAATGATGCTGGGTGGTCATCATTGTGTCCCTGTAAATTTAGTTAAATGTTAGGGTGGCTAAAAGCTTTGTTGTGTGACTAGTTTTCATTGTTGCTTAACTCTAACAAAATGATAAAAAAATCAATCATACATCCACAGACACTAAAGTCCTTGGGGAAACTGCACAGATGTGAGACGAGGAACAGAACTCAGAACCATAGGCTCTGCCAGTAGGGATGACTAAATACCAGCTGCACTATACCAGCCAGTAGATGGCATAATGAACCCCACAGAGGACACAGACATATGTAAGCACTGGCAGGTCTGATATAATCTATCCAGAGGGGTCAGTCAGGACTAGCTGCATTTGGGTATCTTCAGCAAAGTTATTCTTGGGAGAACCTAACCCTTCAATCTCTTTCCCTCACTGCCTCCAAATCCTTTTAATCTCATCTCCTGGCCTTCATCATCTCTGCAGGTCAATATGGTTTTGTAGCAGCACATGCCAATTATACATTAAATTCAGGATGGTCCCCTAAAGCGTACCAGCAATTGGAGGCTCCCTCCACTATGAATTTTCCAGACACTCTTGGGGCAAAGGTGCATTCACACAGGGCAACAATACACACATAAGCAGGCCTGACAACCCATCCAGTAGATTGTAGTGCTGCAGATTCATAGAAACAAATGTTGGGCTGGAAGGGACCTCAAATGCGCATGTGTTACAATGTTTAAAATTAGAACAGTCTAAATCCCATGTTTCTATCCTTCACTCACTCTTCTTTATAGTCATAAAGCACCCCTTGTGCAAGGATAAAAGGGGCTTGACCAAACTGATATAAACAGAGAAACCCAAATCAAACCAATCCCATTCAGTTTTATAAACTGATAGCAGATCTTAAAGAGCAGAGCAAGATGCTATTGATATACTGGCTCCAAGAGGTGGAAGTGAGCTACTTGTATCAGGAACTTGCAAAGAGAGCAACCTGGTAAATAAGAAATCAAGAGATCACATGAACAGCAGAAAGCAAAGCCAGATCCAACTCTGTTAGGTAAGCACCAAAAACCTTACAGTTCTCTTACTGCTCTCCAGGAAGCCAAGGTTCTTCTCAGTGAAGGGCTGCTATGGAAAAATATAGTAAGCAGACTATGGTAGATGCTAACTTCTTCATTAAGAGTTTAAACTGGATGACCTACAAAACAAAGCCTACCAGTCACTGAGCAAAAGTGAACCATAATTAGGAACTGAACTGTCAGCAACTAGCATAGTAATGACAGGTCTCAGTCTGGCTAGACTCACAAGGTGGTGTCAGTGACAGCTTAATTGAATGTCAGACAAGAGTTCAGGCTTCATAGCAACTCCAAGGTCATGGGCATCCTTTGAAGGGTACAGAAAAGTATTGTGCTGTTACAGAAAGAGTTCAGCATGGGTGACCCTAGAGGCATCAAAACTGGGGGGGGGGACATTCAAAGCAGTCCCATTTTATCTGTGCCAGGTTTAAGAAAACAGAAAGGGCATCTCCAAATTTCAGAAATCACACACATATAGCAAATAATGATGCTGCTATGCAGGCACCAGGGTAAGATGTGATCCCATAGGCCTGCTATATACTAGAAAATTAGGTCTGTTTAACTATGTCAGTGGTGTGAAAAATCCACACTCACGAGCTGCGTAATTAAACTAACCTAAATCCCTGTGTAGACAGCACTAGGTCAACACAAGAATTCTTCCATCTCTCAGGGAGGTAGATTACCTACACTGATGGGAGAACCTCTACCATCGGCATAGCCAGTGTCTACACTGAAGACTGACAGGGGCACAGCTGTGGCACTGTAGCATTTTAAGTGTAGAGAAGCCCAGTGCCTAGAGCAAATGCCTAGTGCAAAATAAAGCAAACCCTAAAGTAGAGTCCTATGGAACATAAAGTAGTAGCTGGGGTCAATTACTCTGGACTGTTTCAATTCTAGGGATAAATTGGGGACTTCAGTCTGAGGATTTAGTAAATTGGAAAACAATAACTGGATGAAAATCATCTACAGGTACTAATCAGTCATGTGGACCAAGAGAGTAGACAGGGAGATGCAGCTGATAATCATTTAACCTAATCAGTAGTCAGCAGAGGAGAGAGAGAAATCAAGTTGTTATGGACACCCACAGCAAGTGAACAGCCTGGCTGCTAGCAGGAAGGTCAGCAGGAGGCAAATTCACCCCAGTGTTTGATAGCTTTATCCACATTCTCAACTAAACTTGCTGCACCAACCACTAAGTTTCATGAGCAGAAAGAGAAAGTTGCTGCTGTTGCATAGAGGTGAATCAATAATCCTAAACAGAGGGAGATTCAGTCCTTGTAGTGAAGCCAACAAGACAACATTTTCTCCAGGGCATCCTAGCAACCAATCATTCAGGGTTTCTTTCCTGCTCAGGGATTAGTCAAGTAACCTACCACTTCACCTAGTACTTGTGGCAGCCCCTTTACCTCCCTGAGAAGGCTCAAGTATCCTACACAATGACAGTAGGACAGCAACACCTCCAGCTAAGTAATGCAATCAGGCAAATTGTTTAAAGCGGAGTGATAAAAAAAACTAGATCACTGAAATGCAAAGTAAGCAGCACCGAGACAACTGACCTGTGCCCACTAGAGAAAGCAGCAAATCAGCATTATCTTTTAAAGAGAGAGAATGAACAAGAAAATTTAGGGGAAAATCCTACCTTGGAAACTACATCATGTACCCACTTCTCATCCATGGATGACTGACTACCTGCCTAGTGTCTGAAAACCTACTACCCCAAGAACATGCTCTCCCCTAATGACTCTTTCAGAGCCTCTTGCAGTTCAGCCATGTGACTGCGGCTCATGTGCACCACCGCCCCAGCACACAGAACAGTGCACTGAAACAGTCAATGAAGTGTGGTCACAGGGTGTCTGAATGAGCAGATTTCATACAGTCATTCACCCTGTTTTAATCCGCTTTCCCCATAATGGCTTACATTGAGGATTCAGAGACTGTAAATCCACCCCCACATCAAGTAGCAGAAGTGAAAGTTAGGAACCCCAGACAGTCGTGCAGCTCAAGACAGACCAGTACAAAAGTCACAGATCCCAATACAGACAGACACTTTGATTACCTTTGAACTGCATAGGGCAGCTCAGACCCTTCTCTAACACAATTGTATTAGTTTAGTAATATTTTGGTCCTATCTAGTGCCTGTCATATGAGGATTTCAGACTTACATTCGCACCCCTATAAGGTAGCTTAGTATTTTTAAACCCCATCCATGTGTATATATGGTATTTTATTATATGCTCTAACCCTTATTTTATAGAGGGGTAAAATGAGACTCAGAATGGTTAAGAGATTTGTCGAGAACAATGCAGCATAACTGGTACAGCTGGGATCAGAACCTATTCTCAATGGCCACTCCCACCCCCCTGGCCCCCCCCCAATCCTAATCACTTGACAATATTTGGTTAAAACATGGAAATGGTATTGGGGAGTCAGGACTTCTCGGTTCTAAGGCTCCATCCCCTGCACTAATCACTTGACCATATTTGAGACAAACTTTTCAGACTCAGTGCTGAACTTCCTACCTGCAACTTGGTTAACACTGAATTAGATCTTCTTGAAAGAAGCATATGTCAGATATTCTAACAAACCTTTTAGATTTGGCATCATCCTTCCTCTTCCTTACCCAGGCTGAATCTACATATGCAGCACAACACACAACAAAGTGCCACCACCATTCAACATTTTGCACATTTGCTTTAGTAGCTGGTGTGTAGCACTATTTCTCTGCAGTACTCAAAAAGTTGTGTCAGTGGGTAAAACACAAGAAAACACATCAATTAAACATTTAACTCCTTTCAGCCATGAGTCTGGAATCTCATTTTTATAAGCAGGCTTGGATTTGATTGACAGAAGTTTTATTCTTGTAGGTTAATTATTTGAATTGTTACTTTTGTCCCCTGAAGCACAAAAAATCAGGCCACTGAATAGATGCACCTATCTTTGGATGCTATACTGTAGATGTTGCCACATAGATGTATCATTTTTTGCCAGTTTATCACCATTAAGTTGTTCACAAATGAGTTTTACCAACTTCCCTGGCCAATTTACTGTGAATTACCACCAGATGCAGCAACACCGCCCTCTGTCTGCCACTGAGAAAATTGGCATTTGATGTCATTGCCTACCCTTCCAGATCTACCAATATATTTTATCTGAAATGAATCAACATCTATTCACCACTTGCTTAAAAGTATTTCAAAATCTGATGGCTTTTGAAGATGTTGTTGACAGCAATCTATCCCTACTACACAGTCAACTGCACTTTTTTTAAAAATTGCCGAACATGAAATGTTTAACCTTTTAAAGTAAATGACAAGTCACTTTATTTCAAACACCTTGATTTTTAAGATCGCCCTCTTGAACCATCCTCACTACAAAAGCCAATTAGAGCTCTTACCAGCTTCCTCCCCACTACACAGAAGCACTTGCTGGCTTTCCCCTTCCAGCTCCTGCAGCCAAGTGTTAATGTGGAAAAGGGATTTTAAAATAGAAAGAAGCACAAATGCTCGAGATCTACTTTACATTTTTATTTTCCCCTCATGTTTTCCCAGCTGCTCTGTTCAGAAGACAATATAAAAAACCCAACTGCCTGCAAAGAATATTAAAAATAAAGAGACTTGAAAGCTGCAGTCCAAAGAGGAGGATGTGACTTTAGTTTGACTTACCAATTTTATCCAGCTGTATGTTTTCCTACTTGCTTTTTACAGCAGCTGAGCTCAGTGTTCAGGAACGTCCATCCTGTGTCAGAGAGCCAGGCAGGAGTACTGATCTCCACGCTGGATGTTACTGCGTGAGCTGCAGATGGGATGGCTGCGTGTGTATGTACACTGTATTCGGATAAAGATCAAGAACTGTTTCCCATTCCACAGCCCAGCTACAGTGCTACAAGCTTTAGGAGGCAGGGCCTTCCTCTGCTACTGTGCTACACTTTCTTAAAGAGACAAGCTCCAGTTTGACAGGCAATACCAATGAACAGACTCTTGAAAAATCCCGAATGGGATGGTGTTTGGACCAGGAGAGGTAGGAGTTGTGTTCTCATTGTCTGAGACCTGGCTGACATCCATCAGGATATGAAATAGTTTCCTACATGCTTCATTAACAACAAGACTTTCGTCTTCCACACAGCCTTTTATTCAAGGCTGTCAGAGCATTTTTCAAAGGCGGGTAGGAATTATTATACAGACAACTTGCTCAACATCACCTGGCAAATCTGTGGCAGAGATGGGACTAGAATGCAGGGGTCCCAACTCCAGATACCTCATCTAAACACTAGAGCACACATACACACACCCAAGTGAAGAATGGCTGAATATATACATACATGTTATCCAATCAGGGATGGCTGCAAGTGACTCACATTACATTGTCCTTAAAAGTATTTACTCCCTTGTAGGGCAGAGAGCATATTTTAACAAATGCAAACCTATAATTTCCCAGTTTCTTCACTCTCACTCATTCTGAAAATAACTTTAGTCTGGTAGCAATCCACTGTTTCCAAGGGATTTTCTACTCCCCAGCTTCCCATTCAGGAGATGTGCGTGTTTTAAGTGTACCACACCTTAACATGGAAGGAGTTGCTCCCTCTGTTGATTAGGGGGCAAAGCTGAGAGTCCAACCCCAGTGGAAGTTACAGACAGAGTAACACTATGTTTCCAAATAGAGATTATGTTTGTCCTTCCTTTCTTTTGTTCTTTTCCTTAATCACAAATATCAGTAATCCAGCCTGAAAGTACAGGGTTTGCTCTTTGTATACGGAAAACATGGACTCTTTCTACAATAACTAAATAACAACCAAAACACATTACAAGAAAAAAATACATTCAAAAATTTCTGATCGAGCCATAAAAAGGCAGGACATATTACAATGAAAGAAAAAGCAACATCACCTGAAAAAAGCAATACCTTCAAAGAACCAGTTAGATGAAAAAGTGAGGCCAATTCACGGCTGCCCTGTGCCTTGCGCAGTCATTTGCTCTAGCACACAGTGGGCGTACAACACAACTATTGCAGTGTTAGCATTTCACACCCATTTTGCACAATGGTGACAATTACAAAAGATGCTGGGCACTAGCGACCCAGACTCAGACTCTTCACAAATGGGCTCAGTGGATGCCAGCTAACCAGAGGGAAGGTGTGTTCTTGCACTGCGAGTGGAGAAGCTATCCAACCACACTATGAAATTATGAACTTCGGCACTAGTAGCCATGTGTTAAGCCACCAGGGCCCATCATCGTTCCTCTAGCATGAGCTCTGCTACCAGCCTTGGCTGCATGCCGGAGAAAGTGTATATGATTTATACATTACATTAGCATCAGTTACTCAGAGGGGGAAAAAGCCTTCCCATATCCCAGTCTCCACACCAGTGTGTTAGTCCTCTCCTTCCACTCATATCCTTGTCTATTACTTTTCCCACTCCCAATGCCATTAGTCCCCTTCTCCCCGCCCCTCAGCTCTCCCTCCTCCAAGCTAGGCACTTTTCAGCAGCTACTGCTCTTCCCCTTCCCCTACCACCTGTTTAGTGTGCCCAGCTCAAGACTCCTCCCCTATCTCCCTTTGAGATCTCATTGGAGGTAAGTGGGGGGGAGAGGAAATGAGAGCATGAAAGGCACTGATTGACTAACAAGGGGAGAAGGCAGGGAGACCCAAGGTAGAGGGCAGAGGGCCTGGAGCCAGAGATTTAGCAGAGAGGCTGGAAAAAACCTGAAGCTTCTGGCTAAAGTCATGGGTTAGGCAGGTCCGTGTGCTACTAACATTCTCCCTTCTCATCTTGGCACCTTGTACCGTACCTATGCTGTGTGTTTACAAAAGAAACTGCATCTCAGTCTGCTCCTTACGAGAGGGAAACAAGAGATCATAGGGACCCAACCAGGTTATCCAAATCCCCCACTGGACTCTCAGTTCAGCACACAGCTGTGTGAAATAGGTACAGAGCGCTTGACTAAGAGATGGCAGAGCAGGAACATTGCCATGTACAAATATTTGATGGGGATGGACACCAAAGATGGAGAAGAATTACAGTACTGAAGGGGGTAATCTCCCATGAGAAGGGATGGAGGCTCCACTACAAGGCACTTTTACAACTAGACTGGGCAAAACACCAGAAACTGTCCTGTAGGGGACAATCCTGCACTATCCCCAGGGAGAGGGACTGGATGATCCGGTAGGTCTTCTCCATTTCCAACATTTATGCACCTAAGCATGGATTTGAGCATCCAAATGTGGGATCTGGCTGTTCTATTAATAGATCGTAATCTGGTGATTAGATCAGGACTCATGGGGGAAATGGCACTTAATGGTTAGAGAAAAGGACTGGGACTTAAAGGTTCTGCTTTCTGTTTCCAGCTTTACCACTAACTCAACATATGACACTGGGGGGGGGGGGAACCTTCTGCCGTGACTCAGTTTCCCCAACTATAAAATAGATACCTTAAAACTAACCTACATCACTGGGGTGTTGTGAGGATGAGTTAATTCATATTTGTAAAGTGCTTTCACAGCCTTGGAGGAAAGCAGCTATAGAAGACAGAGTTTGGCTATTAAGAGCTCCTGTTGCCTCCCTGAAGACTGAGAAGTGTTCTGTTTAGCAAGACGATGACCAATCCTACAGCCCTTACTCCCAGGAGTATCCCCATTGATATTTGTCAATACACAAGCAGCAACCATATACTTTCAGGAGGAATGACTTATTTTAGATTAAGGGGCAATAATAAAACCTAGGAAAGGCATCTCTGAGCAAGAGCACAGTGTGCGTGTCTCCCTCTAACATGCAACTCACAAACTCTGTCTCACAACATAGCAGTCACCTCTGCAGATAAGCAGCTTTCTTAGAAATGTAAGGGCGCAGTATAAAACAAATGAGGTCAACAAAGAAATCAAGGAACTACTTAGGTTGTGCAGGATTGGGTCCAAAACTATACATTTCAGGCTCTGTACTATGATAACAGAATCTATATTATTCATGTATTTTTAGGATAACAGAATGTGAGTGAAATCATAGACCCATTAACTTCAGTGGCATCAGGATTTAAACCCATATTTCTTACTTTTTCAGCTGTTCCTGCTGCTTCCCAGCCCGAAATCACAATCCGGTATTGAGGGCATTATGATCATTTCCTTAGTAATCAGGTTTGATGGCTCAAACAAGGGGTTATTACTCCAGATAGAGAAGAAGCAACAGGATCATGTCAAATGTGAAAGTAGTAAAAGTTCTGTTGGATCCATAGCAAAAGGAAAGTAAAAGTCAGGGAGAATAGACATTTTAAGATGGTCAGTTATGCCAGACACAAAAATAATTGATTCCACATTGAATGCTCTGCAAAAGTTTCAGTGAAATGTCACACTGCCTTTGGAGATCTAAATTGTTTGTTCGATCCATTCTCAAAACAAAGGGACAGGGGCATTATTAATCTGAGAACAAAGGTGCCCATTGTGAATGGAGCTTCAGTGCCAGGCTCCCTGCTCCAACCAGCAAGGAGATTAAACACCACGGCTCTACGGACAGGGCTGAGTGCCATGCCTCACATTATCACTCACAGGCTGCTACCAACTCTCAGTGACCCTCTTACTGCTCAATCACTGCAGGCTACAAAACTAGCAAGTCTTTATTTTAATCTCTTCTCTGCAGAGACTGATTCTGCATGTCCCCCTTCTAAAATGGCATGCAGTGCTATGAGTGTCTCCTGGCTATGCTGTGCTGAGTACATGCAGAAAGATTAGTACTGCACTGCCAATGTGCATGGCAATGCCAATGAGGGTGGCATTATGTTTCACCATATTGCCACCAGAAGTATCAGTTCCCTTGGGAAGGGCAGCACTGAGAAATATATTGACAATACAGACATTGGTATAGCTTCATTTAGTTAGCTGAACTCTTCTTTTTTTTAAATTAGAAGAGTTGGGGCCAATCCAAAACCCAGATCTAAGGGTTTGATCCTGCTCCCATTGACTTTAATGGTGCAGGATCAGGGTCAAAATACCCCTGAATTTGGGAGGCTTGAGTTCCAGGTTCAAACTTTTCACCTTGACCCATCTCGATGAGGGATTAAACCTAAATCTCAGACCTGAGCACCCTCTAAATCAGTTGGTATTTGGAGCTGGACTCAGCTATTCTATAAGATGGAAAGTTAAAGCATTAACAGAACTGGTAGGTTTGTAGTTTTCCAGTTGGCCAATAATGGGGTGTGTCAGACACTGTCCCAGAGCATACTTCTAATGAAGTTAGTTTGAAATGGAGATGGATTTGTTGGTTTACTTCCTTTTTGGAGCACCTGCAGCACCACTGACACTGGAATGCTGTGGGAAGAGGGTTTATTAGTTAACTACTGCTGCTAGAAGAGTAAAAGTTATTTGTTGTTGTTTCAGGTCCAGTATGAAGAGAGGAGGTTTGCTTAGGTTTCTCAATGAATATTTAAAAAAAAAAAAAAGATACTAATCTGGAGGGACTTTCAGCTCTAGATACTAACAGATGTAAAGTAATTCAAAGTGCTGGGCCTCAACAACTGGACAGCATCTTTTGTTCAAAGCCAGTCAATATAATAGCTACCTAATTATTTGTACCAGTCCTCACAGTACTACAAAGGGAGGCTCTCAGCTGCTCCAACACAAAGATACTAGCCCAAATATTGCTCTGCTAAATTAAAGTCTGCTTTGGCATCACAGAAGGGCCTGAACCACAACATTCAGCTCCAGACCTGAATGTTCCCAAAGTTGGGGGACATTTCAATCCAGGGTTAGGGATTGGCCAGTCATAGAAGTTCAGGCCAAGCCAAACACCAAGTTCAGATCCGGATCCAAAG